ACATCTTTTGGCCTCTAAACATCCTTTTAAATGTAAATATTGACCCTTTAACTTCTCCAGGCCTCTAAAAATCCCTTAAAAGTTCATTAACGGAGATTTTTACATCTTTTGGCCTCTTTTAAAGGCCAGAAGGGATAAAGTGACAATAGTTTACTAATTCTAAGGATTTTTAGAGGCCAGAAGAAGCAAAAGTACTCAAGATTTAAATTTTAGCAGGATTTTTAAAGGTAAGATGATGTAAACATGTCCAGTATTTTAATGTTTGGGGCTTTTAGAGGCCAGAAGAAGTGAAAGCATCAATATTTTATTCATTTTAAGGATGTTTAGAGATAAAAGAAAAGATGCAGAATTCTCCTGTGTTTTAATATTTTATGTGTTAAAAGACCAGAAGATGTGAAAGTATCAGTATTTTAATTTGTAAGGACTTTTAGAGGTAAGAAGACATAAAAGTTTCCAGTATTTCATTTTTAAGGATGTTTCGAGGCCAGACGTCTCCAATATGTTCACGTTTTAAGATGTTTTAAAGTCCAGAAGATGTAAAAGTGTCAGTATTTTGCTAAAGTGAAGTAAAAATACTCAAGTACAAGTTAAAGACAGTCTGACGTTTGATCACTGAGGGTCCTTGTTTGTCTCTCAGAGGGAGTATCGGCGGGACTTTGAGCTCGAGATGAAGGGAAAAGCTCTGGTGGACGTCGACCAGACTCCTGGATATCTAACGGCTCGACACGCCAGCAGCCTGCTCAGCGAGGTGACGACGTTTAAATATTTCACTCATTTTAAAGATATTTAGAGGCCAGAAGAGATAAAGGCATTAATATTTTACAAATTTTAAGAATGTTCAGCAATTGGACAGTTCATTTTGGACCCCTCTTGAGCCATTTTGAGTTATTTAAGTTTTGTTTTAGTCTTTTTGAGCAGATTAAGAGTCATTTTGGACAAATTCTGGATCATTCTGGACCGATTTTAGTCTTGTTGGACCCATCTTATGTCATTTCTGACAAGTTTTCTGTCTTTTTGAGCAGATTGTGAGTCACCTTGGATCAGATTTGAGTCCATTTTTGGTTTAAGTTGTGCCTCATCACACCTGTTTCCTGGTGTGTGTGGTTTACTTCCTAACCGGCGCTGTGTCTCTGCAGAAGCAGTACAGGAAGGACCTGGAGCAGCAGGTGAAGGGGCGGGGCTTATCTGGCGTCGGGCTGGAGGACACGCCTGAGCTGCTGAGGGTTAGAAAAGCCAACCAGATCCTGAACCAGGTAAAGCTCACACCAGACACGCAGTGACAGAGTCGGGCGGCCGGACACTCAGCGCCTTTGTGTCTGCAGAAGGAATACCGGCGCGACCTGGAGAGGGACATCGTTGGAAAAGGAATGGAGCTGAGCGCCGACGTCCTGGAGATCCAGAGAGCAAAGAGGGCCTCAGAGATCCAGAGCCAGGTACCAGCGGTCGGGTTCCCCCCACACACATGGGCCTGACTGACGGGAAACACAGAACCAGTCGTTACTGACCTGAACCATCTCTTTGAGTCATTTTGAGTAAAACCTGAGTCATTCTGGACATGTTTTAGTCGTTATGCAGAAGTTTGCAAAGTCTGAGTCTTCTAACGTAGATTTTCACTCGTCCCAGATTAAATTTGAGTAATTTCAGACTATTGTTTTTTTAGGTATTTCTGGGCAGGTTTTGTTCAGGTTGGACACATGGTTGGACAAGTTTTTAGTCTTTTTAACAGATTCTTCGTCATTTTGGACACAGTTTGAATGTTTCTGAACAAATGTTGAGTCATTTTGGAGAAGTTTTGAAACATTTCATACCATTTTTATTCAGTGTGGACACATCTGGAGTAGTTCTGAGTCATGTTGGACAAGTTTTTAAGCCACTTTGGACAAAATTTGAGTCATTCTAGACAGTTCTTGAACAATGGGCACGATTTTAGTCTTTTTTTTTCTCCACACATTTTGAGTAATTTTTCACTGAATTTGAGTCATATTGGACAAATTCTGAATCATTCTGGACTGATTTTATTTATGTGGAGTCCATCTGGACAGTCTGAATCATTGCGGACATGTTTTCAGTCTTCTTGAACACATTTTGAGTCATTTTGGACTAAAATTTGAGTCATTTTAAACAACTTGAGAGTCATTTTGGACTAAACTTCAGTCGTTTTTGACTATGGTTGAGTCATTCTGTGCAGGTTTCAGTCATTTTGGACAGTTTTTGAATTGTTTTGGACTATTTTTATCCATCCTGGACAGATTTTGTTCACGTTGGACACATTCTGAGTCCTTTTTGGACCGTTTTGAATCACTGATCACAATCTGGAGATGCAAGAAACAGGACAATTTGTATTAATCTTGATTATATTTTTGATAACTATAAAAACACCAAGAGCAGCCCTTGTTTCCATAGCAACGCACGCCATACGCGTGTCATCCGTGACGCTGACTAACAAACAGGCTGAAGGTTTGTGTTTGTGTATCGCAGAGGTCCTACAAACAGACGGATCAGCTGAGAGAAAACTCGTACGGGACCGTTACCGACACTCCTGAGCTGCTGCACGCCTCCTACCTCAAAGACGTCTACAGCCAGGTGTGTAGTTGTAGTAGTGGTAGTAATACTGGTAGCAATTTCCATGAGGTCTTGTACCGAAGGGATAAATAAAGTTTTATTCTTCTATTCTATTCTAGTAGTGGTGGTAGTACTGGTGGTAGTAGTGGCAGTAGTAGTAGTAGTAGTAGTAATCGTAGTGGTAATAGTAGTAATTGTAATAGTAGCAGTTACAATGTGTTTAATAATTTCTATGGATTTTTTTCCCAAAGACACCAATACATTCCTGCTTACCCCAACCTTAAATTCCAGTATTACCTCCAGGACTTTGTGTTTTTATACTTGTGCTTGCCTCAGCTGAGATCCTGCACTACTTCCTTCATCCTTACTACTAAAACAGGTCAGAAAACCTGATTGCTCCTCCGTGAACTCTGCTCTCTGTGTCCGCAGAAGAAGTACAAGGACGAGGCGGAGCGTCTGAAGGGAAGCTACAGTCTGGTTCCAGAGACTCCGGAGATGGAGCGAGTCAGAGCCAACCAGAGACACATCAGCTCTGTGAGTTACATGTTCGTTTGAAGCAGTTTTATTTTCCTCCCAACAGGATTAAAGTACTTTTAAAGCAGCCCTCTGTCGCCCCCCTAGCTGCACTACTGCTGGGACTCCAAGCTGATGAGGGGCCTCATGTCGTCGGTAACGGAGACGCCGGAGATCGTCCTCGCCAGAGAGAACGCCAAGAAGATCAG